AGTTAATTTTTGCATTTCATTGTACAATTGCATCGATACCGTTACTGTTACGAAAGAGTTGAAATATTTTTTAATAATAATAATAATAATAATACGTGATATTGGAACTAGAGTATGTCCTTAAAGGAAAGTTGTATGAAATAGAAGAACCGGAAAAAATCTAATAGCATCATATTTAATTTTTAAAGAAATCGTCGCCAGAAAAATTAATAAATTTAATTTACATGGGAACCAAATTTTAAAACACAATTTTCCCGAGAGCATTTTTTTCTATTAAACCTGGTACACGTATGAATAACAATTTTATTTATTATATATGTACATTCACGTAAAATCAACAATAATAATAATAATTTTATAGAAATTAAATTGATCTTTTGATTTATTGAAGTAAAGTATCTTAAAAGGGCAGAAACTTAATTGCGGGATGTGATAGAAAAAATTTTAGTTTTTTTTTTTACATTTGCGTACCTACCAACCACCAGAAGGAAGAAGAAACGAAGGTAAAAAGGCGAAGCACAGCCGTTTCTCGCCGCACATCGGTTATATCGCACATGATTAAAAAAAAAAAAAGAAAGAAACGAAACAAAAGAATACACGAAAAAGAAAATAAACGTGTGGCACAAAGTGTGTATATATACCAGGTCCGTATTCCGTGAGATCAGGGCCCTTAGCTTTTAACCGTGGTGATGGACTAACCTTTTTTCTGTATTTCTATTATTTTGTATAAAAAATGAAGGAAAAGTATATTTATAGCGTTTATTAATTTAATTGATTGATTGCTGTCGGTAGCAGCTTAATTTAAGTTTACCTTTTTCTTTTGTAAGCAAAGTATCTAGTAAAATTTATGATAATGATCATTATTACTATGTTTATAATTAATTAATTGATTAATTATTATTATATTTGTGAATGTTATAAATAATATAAATATGTAATTTTATGTTTAAATCACACCTTACTACAGCTACTACTACTACTACCACTACCACTACTACTTTCACACACATTAACTATTATTCTCTCTTTTTGTTTTTTCGTAAGGTTTATGTATATTAAATATCTGGCAAACTACGACACAATGGTGATAAAATGTTATTGAAATCGATACTTTTATTACTATCATTTTCAAATTCAAATTTATTTTCCATCGGGTGAGAGCTAGGGAGGCTACTGTGGTCCAATGGTACTTTTCTTGCATCGGTTTTGTTTGTAAATTGCCACGTCGAGATTCAAAGACAAAAGAAACGAGATTGTTTAAGAAACAAACGAAGAGATAATTTGCTTAAAAGACAAAATCATTTTTGAGAAAAAGACAACTGAAACGGTCGAAGAAACAAACGAAAAAATGGTAATTTAACAAATGGAAAAAGAAAGACAAATGAGAAATGAAACATTTGAGAAAAAGTGACAATTTAGCAAACGAAACAAAAGAAAAAACAAACAAAACTCTTTTGGGGGATAAAGGGACATACGAAAGCCGAAAACAGTTTGAAAAGAAAAAAAAAAGAAGTTGCAGGGCAGACTACCTCTGTTCAGTCTCTTCCGCTGGTTAAGCTGAGCTATAATCAGCGCTGGTCTATGAGACACAAAACCCATAAAGTCCTTATTATTATATATTTATATACCCCTTTATTAATATAATAATGA